AACTTCTAGGGATGGCTCCCTCCCCACAGACACCCTAGGAAATGGGAGCCACTTCATCCCCAGGTTAAGCAAAGCACCCAAGGCTTGGACTGGGGCACTGAGGATGCCTGTGGGCATGCAGCCCTAAGGGGTGATACTGTGGACATACCTGCTGTGGCCCCATGTATAAAATACCCATTCCAGGCAATTCCAGGCAGCTGAAAAGAAAAGAAAATGTGGTTTGGGCTGGATTGAAATGTTTTCTTGTTCTCTTGTAGTTCTTTGGTGAGTGCCACAGGGCATGTCAGACAGAGCAATCATGGAGAACAGAGATCTGTCACAGGAGAGTGCCAGAAAAAGAATTTTCTAGGAATTAGCTTTTTAAATATTTTTTTCTGTTTTGTATTTTGGAGAAAATTCATCCTTAGCAATATACAATTCTGACTGTATGCCTTCAGGAGGAAACCAAAGCTGCCCACCCTTGTGATCACAGCAACACCCAGCGAGACTCCTAAACACCTTCCTGCCCTACACACCCACATCAGGAAAAGCCATCTCCAAATTTTCCATTTCTGAGTCTCTTCCAGCCCACCAAGATGCCTTTTCTCCCTCTGCTGCGTCTTCCCCGCTCTGTATCACACTGGCACTGACATTCACATTCCCACCCAGTAGCTCATAGCAGAGAACTGACAAATGCAATGTAGGCTGAGCTCACAAATGAATCCCAAGCCTGCCCAAGCACCGGCGCTTACAAGCTGGCTAACTTTCAAGAAGACAAAAGAACCTCTCCAGGTTTCTCATGCAGCTTTTTCTACAAGCAAGAAGCAGAAAATGCACTTACAGGAGCGTCTTCTATTCCCATCCTGCCACAAGCTTGAAGTAGGCTTTTAGGAACCTCTTTTACTTGTGTAAGAGCATGGGCAGGAAATGTGAGCTCAGTGTGACCTCCCTGTTTTTGTTTTGCTTTTCCTGGTTTTGGTAAGTGGTTGACAGCACTGGAGGAATCTTCTCTGTGCCATGTCCAAGCACATCTCCCTCTACAACATCTACAAATAGCACCTGCACCCAGAGTTGGGCTTTGCCACTTGAGATACCCATCAGGACTGCAGTGCCTTCTGCCACGGGTGCACCAGAGACCCAGTGCCCCTCCTTCAGAAATAAAACCTGCTCCTGTAGAACTCAATTCATGCACCATGCTAGGGACAGCCAGCACCACTGGGACCAAGGACCCACATCAGCACAACGTGAAGATTGCTGGTGGATCCCGTGCACCCCAGCATGCACAGGCTGGCTGGTGAGACCACCCACAAAATAGTCTGAAGTAGGTTTTTCTGGGAAGTGACAGACAAGTACCACCCAGACAAGCACACAGACCAGCCACTTGCTTAAAGGTAACCAGTTCCTTTCGCCCTTCTCTCCATTTTCCCATGCACACTTTTCTGCCATCCACTTTGACCCTTCCCCTTTCTTCACCCCATCTCCTCCCAAACAAGCAATCTGTCCCTACTTTCTTTTTTTCCTGTTGATTCTGTGTTTGCTGCATTACAGCCTCAGATGTAGCAACAAGCTCCCTCTCATTATTTTGTTTACTAAGAGTTTTAGTTAGTGGAAACACCTGCCATTGCCTGGCAGGTGGATATTAAGATGATGTCATAGAATCCTGGAATGCTTTATGTTGGAAGGGATCTTAAAGATCATCCAGTGCCCCCCCCCCCCCC